AAATTTTCCGGTAATTCTTATATTTAGTATTCCTTTTATTCTGTGCCTTGCGATGTTACGATAAATATTTTTTATAATTAAGAAACTGAATTTTATCTGTTAGGAGCAATCCTATGCGACTAATTTGTAGTTTTTCAACCAGCACAAGAGTGAATTCACAATTAGTAAATTGCGATGGTAGAAGGGTTTATTATAAACAATTCGAGCATTGAGAAAAGCAATATCATAAGCGTTGTAACGAAATGCAAGACACCTGCAATTTTCACCTCCTACATTTAAGCATTTAGTCTGATAAGCTTACTTCGCATTTCGTACTATCGTACTTTTTTCAGACGCAAAAACGAAACTGAAACTCAACTGAGCTACATCGGTAATCGAATCTAAAATCCCATTGAATTTCACGAAAACTGTTCCCGCTTAATTTTTTTTTAAACACTGTATTCTCTAATTTCTGTTTTATTCATCTTCATAATGTTTGCAGTTCTGTAATATCAAAACAGTCTTAAATCTAGACAAAATTAGATATGAAATAAACGTTTTTCTTACAAGGGTCAAAATGTCCCTTTTTAGCTCTTTTAGGTATTTCCATAATTATTTATTTTACTAATCAAAAGAAAGGCATTAAATTTTTATCTAATATGCGTAGAAACAATTTATAAAAAGTAACGAAAAAATGAACTTCAAAGCTTGCGCGTATATTCAAAAATAACGTAAAAACTGGGAAAAAAAGATCAAACTGTCCCCAACGGACTTCTAGTGTTAATGCTGATACGATAATTTTATCAAAAGTAATTCAAAATGTAAATTTTTTTCTCGCTGTATACGCAAAACACATACGTTTATTATATCGAAATAAATGTAGAAAACATTGAGAATGTTTATTTTTTTTTATTCAGTAAATATAGCATGTTTAGCAATTTTATTATTTCGGTGAATATTCCTTTCAGTGTTAAAACTGAGATTTATCATTCCATCTTTATGCATTCATTCTAAACACCCACCTCTATACAACAGTATTAAACAACTGTTTTGATTATAACGAAATTAGTATTTCATAGATTTATATTGATGCGAAAATTTCATTGACGAGAAAAAAAAGTGTTATTTTTTTAATAACTAGATAGGCAAGTTCTGTCAGTCAAACATTAATTTAATCGCAGTCGGTAAATTTAATCGCAAGATAAAATGGTTCAATACATTTAGGTTTTTTAATTTTAAATCAAGATGTAGTACGATGTTGTTATGATATCTTATTTTAAATTTTGAAATTTTCCTTTTGTAAGGACACGTAATTTTTTACATTAGGACTGGCCTCAATTCATATAAATTGTATTAAATTTGAAACAGACAGATTAATTGACAGATTAAATTTGAAATGGTGGTAAAATGATTCTCTAATGAAAAAGCTCGTTTAGTTTTCCCAGATAAAAAATTAAAGCACATATCGTAACAGGAATGCGTAATGTCTCTATTCCAATTTAAAATAGTATTTACTACAAAAAAAGGAGGACAAAACATATTATTGCTGAAGTTCTTGTTTGGTATTTTGAACACAAAACTAAATTAAATGAGTAACAGTGTCGCTTCTTACAAATGGTTGAAATAAAATATTATTATTGTTACGAAGTTATGGTTAAAATAAAAGTAACTACTTTTGCTAAATAATAAAACATTTAAAAAGTACATACACAAAATAAATTTCTATTAAAATTCTCAAAGTTAAAAAAAAAAAATTAAAAAAAATTCAAAGCAATGATTCTTAAAGTAGAAATGAAAAATACAATTGACTTTTGCGAGGAATTCGAAACGTAATAAAAAAAAATAAGTCTCAAGATGGTGGAGAGGACAGAGAAAGAGAATGTCACAAGAGGGCCCAGGATTAATGTCACGAGTATCAGGGGCGTCGATTGGATTTTGGAAGCAAGAATATCTGTCTTCCCAGCCACGTAATAAAACCCACGGAGCACAGCCAAAGAGGGTCATTTATTAGTTTAGAGCGTGAAATTTTTATTTTAGTCAAGCCAACTAAATAGTTACTCGCGCAACGCTTCGATAATAAAAGGCCGCTGGATGACTGTCAATATATTTTGTCGAACTAAGTGCTGCGAATATGTCAAGTCTCGAGTTTTGTATGCAGCGTTCCGCTCCGATGAAACTTTGCTAATTGCTGCAGATTTGTCATTGTGTTGAGATATTCTCCGCTTCAGGGATTTTTTTTCATTTAATCAATGAGATGAAAATGAATGTTACTTTGTGTCTTCAGTTCTATGTGACTGGGATACATTTTTGTTAAACTGTTGGTTACGGCATTTTTTATTTGCATCCTATATGCTTATATTCGTTTTAAAATTTAGGTAAAATAAACAGTTTGTACTGCCGATGAAAGTATCTTAAAACTTCAATAAAGATTAACATAAATTGGATATTTAAACTAATGTTAATTTCTCTAAATCCATAAGTTTTTATCTGTGGAGAACGTGGAATTCGTAATTCAACTAAGCCACTTAAATAGTTACACAAGCAATGCTTTGAAAATAAAGGGCAATTGTTTATCTGTCAATATATTTCTAATTTATTGCTAATTGTAATATATTGCTAATTGCTGCAGATTTTTCATTGTGTTTAGATGTCCTCCGCTTCAGGGATTTTTTTCTTCATTTAATCAATGACATGAAAATGAATTTTATTTTGGGTATTCAGTTCTATGTGACTGAGATACATTGTTGTCAAATTGTTGGTTACGGCATTTTTTCATCTGCATCATATATGGCAGGGGTGGCCAAGATCCTTAATAGTCGAGCCATTTTTCAAAATTTGAAATTTTTCGCGAGCCGCAATTAAATACGTATTTAAAAGGTATTAAAATTTTTTCACAGAAATTATATTTATTGAAAACATATAAATAAAAGTTCAAAATATGTATATTGAGTTTAAATATTAAAAATTAAACATTTATTTTACTTCTCTTGATAATTCTTTAAAATTTGGTGAATAATTGGTAAAAGCACTTCTCAGTAATTCTTTGACATGCTGTTTAGTTAAGACTGATCGGTGTTTGGATTTCACGAATTTTAAAGGGGAATAAAATAATTCACGTAAGTACGTTGTTCCGTATATTGAAATAATTCGACAAGCAGCCTTTTTTAATTCAGGATACTTCGATTCTGGTACAAATTTCCAAAATTCGGAACATACGGAGCGATAATAATTTTTTAAAATATAATAGTCCNAAGATCCTTAATAGTCGAGCCATTTTTCAAAATTTGAAATTTTTCGCGAGCCGCAATTAAATACGTATTTAAAAGGTATGCAAAAAATTTATTAAATTTTTTTTTACAGAAATTATATTTATTGAAAACATGAAAATAAAAGTACAAAATATGTATATTGAGTTTAAATATTAAAAATTAAGCATTTATATTACTTCTCTTCATAATTCTTTAAAATTTGGTGAATAATTGGTAAAAGCACTTCTCAGTAATTCTTTGAGATGCTGTTTAGTTAAGACTGATCGGTGTTTGGATTTCACGAATTTTAAAGGGGAATAAAATAATTCACATAAGTACGTTGTTCCGAATATTGAAATAATTGACAAGCAGCCTTTTTTTAATTCAGGATACTTCGATTCTGGTACAAATTTCCAAAATTCGGAACATACGGAGCGATAATAATTTTTTAAAATATAATTGTACAAAAATTAAAAGGGAACTCAGGTACATTTATCGAGAGCCACAAATAATCCATCAAAGAGCAGCATGTGGCTCGCGAGCCGCAGGTTGGCCACCCCTGATATATGGTAATATTAATTTCACGAATAAGGCAGACTAAATAGATTGTTTTCGCCGATCCAAGTATCTTAAAACTTCAATAAAGATGAACGAAATTTGAATTTTGAAACTAATAATAAATTCTCTGAATCAATTTTTTTTCACGTTAAGAGGGGCTCGTATAACTATTTAGTTTGTTTGATCGTTAAGAGGGCCAATCAAACAAACTAAATTGTTATACGCGCAACCTTTCGATAGTAAAAGGCCATTGCCAATATGTTTCAGCTCGGATGAAACTTTGCTATATTGCTACAGATTTGCCTTCGTGTTAAAATATTCTCGACTTCAGAATTTGCTTTCTTTTTAATAAATTAAATTAATGTGAATATTATTCCTCGCCTATATTTCGTGTGACTTTGATGTATGTTTGAGAAATTGTTGATTATGGTATTTCTTTAATTTGCACCGTATATGACTATATTAATTTTATAAAAAAAGAAGTGTACATATATTGTACCAACTTTCCAAATGTCTCAACACTTTAGTAAAGATGAACATTATTTAACTATTGATACTATGGTTAATATCATAAATATAAGTTTAAAAGCTTAGAGAGTGAAATTTCTATTCAGTCAAGCCAACAGCAACCTACGCATAATAAATACCATTGGAGGATTGTGAATATGTTTATGTTGAACTAAGTGCTGGAAATTTGTCTTACTTGCTTGCACTGCTCCTCTCGGATGAAACTTAGCTAATTGATACATAGTGGGTATTGTGTTGAGATATTCATTATTAGAATTTTTCATCTAATATGTACATATTTGTAATGTATTACAAATTTGGGAAATTTTTCTTATGATATTTCTAATATGTGTATCATTTATGATAAAATTAATGTCTTATTAATTTTGTAGAGTTAGTATTTGCAGAAAACCAATTTAACAAATTTTCCAACAGATTAAAGCCTTGCTCATTATCTTCCGTCCAATAGTCATCGATAGAAAAATAATATCTGCTTTTTTAAGACTCGTAAAATCTATTGGAAAATTTGAAAATAATACAGTTATATTAAAAAGATAATAATTATATTGAAAGTGTTAGTAACACAGTTTAATCATTATTAAATGATATTATTTATTGAATTTGAAAGTTATAATTTCATTATATTACACTAAAATATGTATATGAATACAATTGAACTGAAAATTCAAAATTAAATATCTTTTTAAGGTAACATGGATACGAAGAAGAGATTTTCATGTATTGACAGTGGCCTTGCAAACATATACTGCTGATGATAGGTTTGTCGCAGTGAATATGGATCGTTCGGATGATTGGATGCTACAAATAAAATTGGCGCAGCTGGCGGATGAAGGACTTTATGAGTGTCAAGTGAACACTCATCCTCTGATAAGCTTCTTTGTAACTTTAACTGTACTAGGTGAGAAACGCACTTAAACTAAACTATTAGTTATGTTAAGTACACTAGCTATAATACTAAGATTATTTGATAGGAAAAAGAACAACAGCTACCCGATTTAATAAAATAAATTTGCCTTAAAGTTATTTTTAAAACATTTAGTTACAATATGTCTAAAGAAGTTTTACTTTTATATTAAAATTCATATATTTTTTTCTGTTCATGACTTAAATTCAGTCATATATTTATTTTGAAGAAAATTAAGACCAGTGCTATGTTTCATATGTTAAATCTGAATAATTATATTAGATATTTATTCTTTTACTAGATATTTATACTAGAGATATTATTTATACTAGATATTTATTCGATATTTATTATTATATTATTTATGCATTTTAACATATTTAATATCCTAATTTTTTAATTCATAATTAATATTGAAATACTATTTAAGGTATTAAGATTAAATGTTGCTTTAAATTATTTCTACAGATCTTTTGCTAATAAAACATTGAAAGATAGATTTCAACATTTCAGGAGACTTTCTCGTGTCATAAATATATTTGGCTATGCTGAAGCACAAAAAAAAATTCTTTTTCCTTAAAAGTTTATATTTCCTTAGCCTTAAAAACTTTTTATCCTTAGTATATATTATATTAGTACCTTAGTATTAGTATCCTTAGTTTGCCTCCTCTAATATTGTATCAATATAGCCAAAACAAATATATCAATATAATAGTGTGTGGAACACTAAAAAAAATAAAAATGAAAATGGAACATATTAAGTAAAAAGCATACACGAAATAAAACATATGAAGCAAAAAACAGAAAATGCAGAACAAAACACAAATCGAAATCTATAAAGTGACTAGCGAATTCAAATGAACTTACACATACCGGAGTCATTTAGGAATGATTTAAAGTATTTTCGTAATAAAATTGCCAGGTTACAAAACATGGAAACAAAAGTGTAAATAAAGGAATCTTTTATGTCGCGTTCTTGCTGCAGAACTGAAGCGTGTTTGATTTGTTAGTTATCTTAGATTGGTGCAAAAATGGGTGTGCGCAATGTACACTGGATAATTTAAAGTTTATAACTAATAAGGTTGATATTTACTTAAACCATTTTGATGATTTTAGAAAATTAACGTTAATTTAAAAAAAGAGAAACATGATTTGCCCGTTTTGCTCACATTTTTAGCCACTGATTTTCCGGAATTGGATTTGCACATCAGAATAATAGAATAACAAAGAAGTTTTTTGTAAATTTATTAATAATAAAATACAATTAACTCGGTGATTTTATATAGAACTTAATTACATTAGTTACTTAGTTACATCTATTGTTTTTATAAAGAGTTTGTCTATTTGCTTTTCCGAGAAATAAATATTACTACATATTCTCTTAATTCTACTCATAAATTTTTTGATTATATGAATTATATAAAGAGAAAAAAATTATTTAAGAAGGTAGAATATTTTATGAATAAGAAGATAAGAGAAGATCCAATTAAATAAGCTTTGATTTTACTTGTTAAATTTTTAAAAGAAATATATTTTAAAACTATTTTATTACTTTATTACATATTTCTTGTTAAAATTAATCAAAATTGAATAAAACAAATTTTTTTGCAGTTTAATCCATTTGAATATTTATTTTCTCTCTATCGAAATTGAATAGTTATGAGCTTAAGGAAAAAATTATTAATAAACGAACTATTTGCTAATAAAATATATTATTAAATCCAGTGCATTAATATACGATGTATTAAAAATATTAAATCTAGTACATAGTTTAGGAAAGATACGAGTGTCGCAACATTTTGTATACATTATGTGTATTTCAATTCATATAATGTTTACGTATTTAAAAAATAATTTAAAATTGATCATCAAATTATTTTAAAGCACTCTAAGTGTAAACATTTTAAAATGCTGTAAGTAATTATAATGGAGTTATTTATTCAATTTGACTAATTACTTTTAATTGATAAATATGAATTTTAATGTTATAATTATATTTTTATTCTTGAGTAAATGTCAAGAATATTAAGGAAATATGGATAATAATAAAGATTAAGGAAACGAAAAGAAGAAAAAATTTTAAAATAAAATATTTTTAAAAAATATTTAAGAAAGTAATATTTAAGAAAATATTTTTTTTTTAAATTTTAAATCTATATTAAAAAGTCTGAAAACAAAATAATGAAAAGATGTAACCTCTTCATCAGCTCACACGATTATATCCGCAAAAAAGAGTGCTTTCTAATATTATATCAATGTAGAAAAACAATATGTATCAATACCATAGTGTAAGGAGCACTAAAAAATGTAAGCTAAAATAGAACCCGTTAAGTAAAATATATATCAAGCAAAAAACAGAATAGCAAATGTAAAAAAATTACAGAACAAAACGCAAAACGAAATCTATAAAACGAGTAGTGAATTAAACTGAACTTACACGTACCAGAATTTTTCAAGAACGATTTAAAATATTTTCGAAATAGGATAGCCAGAGTACAAAACATGAAAACAAAAACACAAATTGAGTTAGAAGCTTATATAGAGGGATTTTTTAGCGCATTCTTACTGCAGTACTGAAGCTCATTTGATTTGTTAGTTATCAAGGATTAGAACGAAAATGGATGTGCCCAAAGTAATAATATTATACTGGATAATTTAAAGTTTATAACTAATAAGTTTGATACTTAATTATACAATTTTAATGATTTTAAAAGAATAACATTTATTAAAAAGAGAAGGAGAAACATTACCTGTTTTGTACAGATTTTTTGCCACGGATTGGTTTAATTCAATTTGTCCATGTTAAATATAAAAATTAACAAAGAAGTTATTAGTAAATTTATTAATAATAACTTACAATATATTCAATGGTTTTACATAGAACTTAATAATATTAGTTGGCTATTCATTGTTGTCTATAAAAATTTTTTTTCTAGAAATGTCATAATCACAAAGTACGGTTAGTTTATCTAAACCTGTTTCTCCATGCAGTTAAATTTCTTTTTTAATTAATTTCTGTTTTTCAAAACTAAATAGTTATTGGCTCAGGGATATAATTGTGTTTAAAAACATAAATTTTTCTTTAATGAAATCAGCCGAAAATTCTGCCGAAATATTTTGAATCAGCGTAGAATAAGAAACGGAAGATATGAAACCAGTTTGATTGTCTGACTAAATGTGGAGCTGTTAACAATAATCATTTATCAACTCATTATTTTTCTTCAGTTAATCATGTTTTCATTTGCACTTTCCTCGTTAGTGATTCGTTAAATTTCAATTACGCATTTGCTTTGACTTTATTTAAATAATTTATCATCCCCTAAAGTGCATCTTCTTTTACTCCTTGACAAAAAAAAATTTATACATTAGATACGGTCATTCAGAAATACTTTTCCTGTCTTGATCAGATATGAACTGTCACTTTGAATACTTTTTTTTGGATAAAACTGTTGGTATCCATGTAAATAAATAAAACTTCTGCAATATTTAGATATACTGTCAAAATTTACTTTCTTATTTTTAAGGTTTAAGCTGACTTAGTACACTTAAAATTTACTTTAAAATTATTGAAATATTTTAAAAAGTATTTTAGCATATATTCACAGTTTTCATATACGTAATAATAACAATTCGTGTGACCTAAATATCAAATAAATATTTATATTCAGTTTGCTAAATATTATTGCAAATTCATTAATTTGTTTAGTGTTCATGAAATTATACACGATCAGAAAAATCTGCATAAATGTAAACTGCAATGCGGTTCAAGCTTGTTGTAAGAATTATAAGGTGTTTAATAGATGCATGTCTCCGTCAAAATTTAACCGTAACACCGAATTATCAAATATCGCTTAATCATGGAGCAATCAAAACGTGTTTGAATAAATTATAATATTATATGCATTAATCAGCAGTTATTGTAATAAATTTTCTTTCTTAACTGTAAATTTAAGTAATTTTAATTCTTTACACAAACATAATTCTGATAAATCATATTACGTGCCATTAAGATCAAGCAAAGAATAATTTTCAGTTTGCTAAACATTATTACATCTTTTTGATCAATATGCTTATATTCTCACTGTAAAATTGGTATGAAGTTGAACAATAATATCGACAATTTAAACCATTATACTATGCAAATTTATTGGAATCTTATAATGAGTAAAACTGAACCATCCTTTTTAATAAAGTTTAAGCAAAGCTTTATTTTAATTATGCTAAACATTATTGTGATATTTCTCTTTTGATGACAATGATTATATTCTTTCTGTAAAATAGGCATTAATTTGAAGAATAATATTTATACTTTGAACCATTATACGATGCAAAATTACTGCAATTTTTATAATGGGTAAAACAGAACCTTATTTCTGTTAAATTTTAAGCATAGCATTGTATAAGTCAGTATTTGGTTCAGGATGGAATTAAAACCGGTTTCAATAAACAATTAATATGCGGATTTCACCATTTATGGATGCAGGTTTTAATGTTTAATATTATTAAAATCGAAGAAAAATTTGCTTCCTAAGCTCAAACAAAGATAAAGCTAAACAATATAGGAAATATTCTCTTTTTGGTTGGTGCAAATTTAGAAAAATTGTTAAGTTGAACCGTATTCTATAAAAAAATTACTGCAACCTTCATGTAGTTTTAAATTTAAACATGTTTTCGTTCAAGTTTGATTGCATTAGCATGATAATTCAGTTGAGTTTGAGACCAATTTGAGATTGAGTGAACGAGGGTACAATATATTAAGGTACAATATATTTCAAAATTTTTGACAAAATATTAAACCTTTTATTGTATTGAAAACGTTTTTTGCTTTAAAATATCTGGTAAAAACTTTTGAGATAGTTTGATCTTTTTCATAAAAAAAATGAAATATAAATCGAAGATAGAAAATTTTATTTTAATATGGAAAAGAATATCATTCTGAACACGTTGCTGACAGCTTTAAGGTTCATCACGTATGAATGAGGCACCTCTGTTATATATTTCTTCTTCATACTTGCTCCGTTGCAAACTTCTTTTGAATTCAAAAGGGATTTATTTTTAAATCAATTTTCTTTTGCAACCACAAAATAAATTCCATTTTCTATTTGAAAGCAGGTTGTAAATAAATATATTTGAATATAGTGTATAAAGAAAAATGGTGACGGGTAGAAATTAAATCACGTTTTTTGGAGCTAAGTTATGGAGCTATTTTGTTCCGCCTTTTACAAAAACTTAAAATTTATTTCAAAATAAATACATTTCGTAAAATTTGAAACATTTTTTTTTACTAATTTAAAGTGAACATTTGGCTTTTTTTAATGTAATTTAGTTTTTATTTACCGAGAAATTTACCAAGGAGTTTTATTCAAAATAAAATACAATCCAATTATTTCTGGAATCTCAAAACATTCAGAAAATAAATTATCTTTCCAACTCTGCCTGGAATCAAATTAACATTTCAAAGGCTTCCTTATTAAATTTTCTTACCGAGAACTGTTTTATTACTCCCTTGCCAAATCTGAATGTGGTCTACGGTTATGTATACACAATTGTTTATTAGTTCGAGATGTATTAGAATAAACAGAAACATTTCCACATTTGATTAAGATTATTCAAAATAATTTACTTCTCCCGTAAGATAAACAAAAAGAATTAGGCAATTACTTTTAATTTACATAAATTATGTGTAGCTGTTTAATTAAACCGTTAGATACTATAGAAGAGTAAGTCAGAAATTTTTTTAAACAAAAAGCCCTTAAATAATGTAAATACTGAAAATACCAAGTTATAAGTTATACTGTAAATACAGAGTTGATGAATATATACTCAATTAAATAAGTCATTAATCAGAAGCATTGATTTTTTTTAAATATACTATGAGATATTGATAATTATATTGAGCAAATATGATGAAAATTAAGGTTTTTCAACGAAAAAATATACACTTGTACACTTGTGGTTGCACCAATCACAACAACCATACTCATCAATTTGATCTAATTTAGTTAAAATTTTTGAATCATTAAGATTTCATTAACCGAATAATTCAGTTCAGTGGGTGCCAACTTGAAAGAGATGCAGGACGTATGCAGGACGCAAAAGTATGAGGGTTGTTGGATCAGTTAACGCCATTTGGGGAGTTCTCAGATTAGTTTGTAACATTTTGTGAGCTTTTGAACCGATAATTCAACAAAATTCTCCAAATTTTAAGTTTACTAATATTAATAAAAATTTCCTTCAAATGAAGCAAAATTCACCGTTTTATACAAATTTTCTAATTTGGAAACGAATTTGGTAAACTCTGCAAATTAGCAACCAAATCAATAAACTTTGATACAATTCAACGAAATTTATAACAGCAATTATTAAAAAATAAACTACCACGAAATTTATATAATTTGGATCAAAATTTACCGGTCCAAATTCACACGAGGAAAGCGCTATTAGAATCTAACTAGTTTATAACTCTAACTAGTAAACTAATTTAAAATATGATTGTTGTTTCTACTGGGTTTATAACAGGATACAGTTTCTAATATTATAACCCCTATGTTGTGTCCTATCTTCATATCAGCTACACTGAATCATCCTGTAAAAAAGGGACACATATTATCGATACAACATTTGCAGCAATTTTTCACTATTGCTTAAAGTGGGTATTTGTTTGAAAATAAAAATAATGAATAAAACGTGTTATTTTTACATTACGAAAAAGTGACAGGAATTTCAATAAGACAAAAAAATGTTTCTTGCACTTGATAATAAATATTCAATAATTATTTCTAATGAAAAAAAAATATTCAATAGAAAATTTTTTTTTCCAAAATAATAATAAAAAAATATAGATTTATCCTTGTTATGGGAATTATGATATTAAAATAGAACAATTCACTCTTGAACTTTTCATCATTGTTTTAGTTTTCTTCATTTCTATTCTGATATTTGAATGAAGTTTTTCAACTTTATAGTAACTTTATTCACTAAGATAAAGTATGGTCAAAACTACGAGAATATGGTGCAATTCACCGTATTTCCAGCTCTATGGGAACACCAAAAACCATTGTAATTTTTACCGTAGCAATTACTTCGATAAATTTAACAAACAAATCTGGTTTAATAATATACATAAATTAATATTATAACAGTTTTAACGTCATAATAATAATTGTAAATGTTTTTGATCCTAGTAAAATTCGCTACTTTTATCATGATATTCTCTGTCGACCGGCCTGTGTAGGGGTTAGGGAACTGCCCTTACGTCAGAAAGGTTCTGAGTTCGAGTCCCGGTCAAGGCATGGATGTTCTTTACTATCTGTCCTTACTGGGGGAGCAACGTTGGCCCACCTAATAGGGTGCCCCTGAAAGAGTGGCCAACAGATCTGCCCTTCAGGTTCCTGTATGCCCTAGGTCATTATCCAGGTGGGCATTGGACAAAAAAAAATCATGATACTCTAGAGAATTGCATCGAAATTATTCATTCTATTAAATTTACTTTTTAGTTTTGTATTTTTCACTAAATGTGTAGTAATAAGATCCATAATTTTTAAAGCCCGAATTTCCGGAGAGCTATTACTATATGAAAAAGAAACACAAATTATTGTTTAAATATTGCATATTTTTTTTCCATTCCCATTTTTTGACAGAGATTAAATAAAGAATGAATAAAATGAATTATGAATTATTAAATAACTTTAATTATGAGTTATAAAAATTATTATAAAATAAAATGATTATAAAATAAAATAATTAGGAATTATAAAATATGATATTTTTTCCAGATTATTTCTCTGCACTTCTTTGAATGGCGCTATGTTCAATATTTGGATACATATTATTATTTATATTATAATTTTATATTTATTATATCATATATTACATCTCATATACTATATATTTAAGTTTCACTATTATAGTTTTATAATTCCCCATTAATGCGTATAAATCAATTTGAAGAAATCTAAGTACTTTTAATCCTTTATTACCAAATATAAACGAAAATTAATATTTAGTGCGAAAAGTTTAGCAACAATTACATTGCCTTCAGAGATAGGCATAAATATTTTTCGTATTTTTCTTTCAGTTCCTAAATCCTCCATAAAAGAAGCTCCTGATTTATATGTGAAAACAGGCAGTTCAATCAACCTAACGTGCTTGATTAGTCAGAGTCCAGAACCTCCAGTTTTTGTGTTCTGGTACCATCAGGACCGAATGATCAACTATGATTCCTCAGGTGGACAAATCACGGTGCAAAAGGCAGGAAAAGATACCGCTGTAAGCAGGCTATTCATCAAAAATGCTCAGCCTGCTGATTCTGGTAATTACACTTGCTGTCCATCAAATGCAGATGCTTCAAGTATTAGCGTACACGTTTTGAATGGTAAGTGTCTGTCTTTACGAAATAAAACTCCCTTTTATTCCTTTTGATTTGATGTGTTGTAACTATTGAATATTTTTGTAAGATATTTCCAATTTTTAGCGATAATTTTACATTACATTAATTAAAAATAATTTTTATTTCAGGATCTATTTATGCTTTTTTTATCTTTTCAAGTTCTTAAAAAAATTGTAAATTGGTGTTCCTTGCAATCATTTTTCAGAAAATGAGATTTAAATTGAATACAAAAAATCATTGAGTAATAACTTCTAAAACCATTTGACTTCCAAAATTGAATGTTGATTTTTTTTAGAAAAAAGTTTGTTATTAGTCTCGATTTAGTGACCATTTAAGATATTAATTAGTCTCCATCTTTTATCAGCAAATTTCTAAGGATAAAGAAAAATATATTCTATTGTTTTCTAAATATCGATTGGAGGAAATGAATATATGCCTGAGAAATTTCTGTCACATTTTAAAAATTAAAAATACATTGAAAAATGATAAAATTTATAACGATCAAGGGTACGCACATAACAGTGATATGTAGGAGTTTTATCAATATTGATAGTTTTTGAAAACTATTTTAGGTTTTTTTTTAAAAAGTAGTTCTGAGTACGACTAAGTTGCTTGTCCAAATGATGGCTCTGGTTATTGTTTCACTGAAAACAATTAAGTTACAAAAAAAAAACTTCTGATATACCGTATTTGCTACTTTAATAATTAACATATTTTTTACTTTAATAATAATTTCACGTTTACTTTAATAATTAACTTCTGATATTTTTTATATTAACAGCAATGAATCACTCTTAAAAAATAAATATTACTCTAAAAATATTGCTATAATATATTACGGTAAATGGATTTTATTGTAAAATGGAGTATACGGATGATGAATCGTAAGTGTCGGTACTTTATGCCCTAATTTAATCCAGAATATGTATTATTCTGTTTTAAAGTAATTCCTACTTGAAGATTAAGAAAAAAAACCTGATAAAGTTTGCTGTTTAGGGATACTACATATTTTTTGTTTTACATTAGGGGTATTTATCTAGTTTGGTTTCTAGCTTTATTACATTTCTGACTGTTTTATTTCTGCTAGTTTAAAGACTATATGTACTCAATTACGTTGAATATTTAATGAACATAATTAGTAATATATAAGAGGTTTTGTATTAAATAAAATAAAAAGCAAAAAATTGTGAAAGATTGACAAAATGTTAGTTTGAAAATGTATTTTTCCTAATCGACGAATAACTGGACTTTGCGTGTTTAGCAGAATCCCTTGTAATCGATGATTCAGATGAAGTATGTTAATTAATAAGAAATTAATTCGTAACTTCATGTTTTTTAAGTGTTTTGTGCTGTTCGTTAACATGGAATTTTGTTATCAAGAAAACTATGAAAGGACAATTTTGAAAAATCACTGCTATTGGCAATTTTAGACAGAAAGTGTAACCTAGTATAGAGCAATTACTTAAATGCCTTCTAGTTATTGATAATTATTTCCCTGAATTAAAAAAAATGAATTTTACGTAGATTTTTTTATTTTAATTGTAGGTGAAAAAAGAGCAGCAATGCAACATGATCTAAACACCTCTCCGGCATCTGGAGCCATGGACCAAAATTCATGGAGTTTTTTGGTGTCTATTTTGCTGTTTTTGGTTCTGTCATCCTGACGCTATTAACCAACTTTTGATTGGTGATTCAGATATGACAGTCCGTCCATTTCTCAGCCATACTTTCGTAAGTCTGGAATTATGTTTGAATTGTCAAATGCTGCAAAAGTGAATTATTTTATTTTTGAATGTTTGCAAGCTTATTTTATTTCAATCTTTACACATAAATTTAGCAAATTTCTTATTCTGTGCCTTCTTTCGAATTCCGATGTAAAGCAAACAATTTCAAGTTTTGATATTAATTAAGGTTATTACAGTTGCATGTTGAAGCAGAATAAGTGATAAGATAGGTAAGGTAAGGAAAAAATGACATTCATCATATCCATAATCAAATTGTACCCAAGAATAAATGAGAAGTAAATATCAAGGGAAGAAAAAATAATTAACTTGTAGCGTATCTACCACTACAAAATTACAACTACAATTCACTAGTATATAAGACATGTTAAGGTATCCGACTACCTTCGGGACAAAATTTTTGAAAAATAAATATTTTTCACAACATTATTGCNTATATATATATATAGAATTCCTCATAAGTAGTCTTTCTTAAAAACATATGTTTCTTATCAAGTTTAAGATTTAGAAGTCGGTCTCACAGATAAACCAGATAAGGCCAGATAAAAGATTATTTTCTGAAGTTAATGGGCAATAAGTCGTAGATGAAGTACGCATTAAGATAGTCCCAAAAACTTCACAGCGGCAGAATGGCGCTATCCTTTTAGCGAATCAAATTCTCTAAATTATATCAATTGAATGAAGTTTCATTGAGTTAAGAATATCCTTGCAACCACATTTCATTGAGTTAATAATATCCTTTCAACCACATCTCCTTTTTAGAACCCCCCTTTAAAATCTCGGGACAGCCAAAAATGCGGATCTTTTTTAATATTTTTCATATCTAGATAAATCTGGGTCAATTCCCAACATTCCTGCTAGGGAAACCTACTATGTAATAGATGTAAAACTCCAGCCAATAATGTTTTCAATACTCCATATAACGTAATAAAATGTCTTTTTATGTGAAGCGGCCTAGGTCTCTTAAATTATCTAGCCTTTAAAGGCATAACTATTAATTATGAATTATCAGTAATATGTTAATATTACCGATATTTTTTTTCTTTGTGATATACCACACTTTTGCAGTGAAAATAATCCTCATTTTAAAGAATATATTTAAAGTATTTATTAGCTTATTAACTTTCTTCATTTTACAAAAAGAATAAAAAATGAAAAAATGTATTTTTATTATATGATTTAGTTTTTGGGTTTTACATTTCGGAATCCGAAAGAACTCAATTCAAAGTGTTTGTATAAAAGATCAGATTTTATTGTCTTATGTACTAAATAAAATTTTATATTATTGCTCTATTCTCACATACTATAGGTTCATTTTATCACGTGGTAGTTTTATGTTGTAAAGAGACCAAATATACCCCCAAAAAGATTATAAAATCTTTTCCTTCGAGCCAAGACCAAATATAAAATCTTCAGAAACGAAACTAAAGTCGACAAGTAAAACTATATCATGTAACGAATTCTTTGGAATAAAAGGAAAAGCGAGTAGTTTTTTTAGGAATTGAATGGCATTCAATTTCTAAAATGTCTTTGCCTATTCTGTTTTCGCTTGTTTAGTTTTGCAAAGCTAGAAAAAGAAAAACATGACTCATGTCCAATGTTCAGTGTTATTTTCCAGCAAAATCTTTAGAATTTCTGAGATAGTACATCAGTCGGTTTTTGTTTCCATCTCCTCCAATCAAAAAGCGCATTTAGTTTTAAATCGGTTAGAAAGTCAAAGAGAAAAAAAGCTCTATCAAAGTAGTTCAAGAGCAATTTAGATTGGCAGTTGAAATATTTTCAAACTTTAGCATTCATATCAAGCTTAACATAAAGTTTTAAGTCTCAGAAATTTTTCAATATTTTAAAACAATAATAATTTTTTATATGCGTTAATATGCACTTTTTTATTATACCAACGCTTTGAAGGGAAAATATATATATATTATGTAATATAAAGTAAACTTAAATAAATAATTTTGATGAAACATTGTGGTTTTTAATTTTAAATATAAAAGTAGATTAGAGAGGATTTTAAAATTTATTTATTAAAGTTAAATTTTTTGAACTTTTATATAATGCTTCAGTACACAAAAATTAAAGTAGTCGTATCATGGATTAGAGTCCCCATGTCGTCAGACTAACCGTGGGATGTTTATGTGGTTTTCCTTTCCATGCAACGCATGTGCGGGATATTTCCATCAAAAAGTCTTTCACGGCGGAAATTTTTTCCCAATACTATGGATAGGGTTCAAAATTACAAGACTCCAGACTTGAACATTAGTAGTCGCACATCCAAATTTGGGTTTGCTGTTCAACAATGGTTATAATATAAAACTAATAACTGATTTTTTAAGTTACGAAATCAGACACAAAAATGGATTCGATGGATTCGGTTTTCTAAAAATTAAAATATAGAGATGCAGCTGTGATCTATGAAATATAATTACAATAGTTAGGACAGGAGAGTGGTTTGGACCCTTCAATGTAATTTTTATTTTTTGAAAATATTTTTCGCTATATCTCGAGAGCATTTTTAGCAAATTTGAAAATTCTTACTCACAATTATAAATATCGTCTGTCCAAAGAGAATTCCATGAAAAAATGTATTTTAGTAAATATATATTATTTTTTTATTATTTTATTGAATCATAAGAGGAAAGATTTTCAATTGTAAGGTATACAGTTTCTTATGTCATTTTTAAGAATACAATTTTACAAGACAAAATACAAAATTTGAGTGAATTCGGTAAATTTTCAAATACGAGCTCATTAAAATTTGGTTAAAAATTAGTCCAAAAACGTGAAGATATAATTTTTAGATTGAAAGTTATTCAGAGTAATCCATTTTTTTTGCAATGTACTTTATTAAGTTATACACTAAATCTTTTTTTTTTTGTTTGTAAATTAGGCTAAAAAGGGGTAACAGGGTTTGTAATATAAAATAATGTAATATAAAAGTATGTAATGTAATATAAAAGGGGTTTGTAAATAAGGGCTTACGCGTACTTCAATCATAGAATCATTTCATACTGGGGTATATTTTTCATACTGCAAAAAGTCATCTAAACCAAATAACAATTTTCTGGCTTAATGAGGCTAATTTTAGATGGTTAAATTTGAAGTATAAATTCATGGTTTGTTGTTGTCCTGATATTCCTGATAAAAAAAATGCCATTGTCGCGATTTTTAGCTTTTCGACTAATACTCTTGATTTTTGTTTTTATCCAGGATCTTATCCTCGATCTTTACGAACAAAAGTTCGAATTTCGTTATGATCTAACATGTTTTATTTTAAATAAAAATACTAATGAAAAAATTACTAAATTTGATATCAAATAATTATATATAAAATCAGTCATAAAGCTTTACGAATACATCCTATTAGGGATTATACTGTAAGTCATAGGAAACTCTGTCTTGTAATAAAAGCAATCAAAAATATTACATTATAAAATTTTTATGTTGATCAATACTAGGGCCATACGCTTATTTATTATTTTTATTAAAACTCTTCAAGGGTGGAGTTCATCCGATTCTTTCATCTAATTTTAAAAATGATAGAATTCAGACATTCCAATTCTCAACACATTCATCAGGATTTTTAAATGGTGCTTCAAGGGATCATCCACTAAATTACTTCTGTACTAATATGTAAGAGGGCATATTCTTAGTGTTTTCTTTTCGATATTAAGTAAACTCTAATTTAAAATTTATTTATTAAATATTGCTAATTTTAATTAAATTTTGGCATCAGGGAATTTTAATTATTTGATATTTGATTTGATGTTTTGTATTTCATCTTTGATTAAATTTCTATACAATGATCTCAAACTATTATTTGTTGTTATGTGCTCTAAGTAAAATAATGGAAACTTTTCAAAATTTTCTAACCAACAAAGTTATTCTGAAATTTAAAAAAAAATAAAATAGCATATTGTATTACTTTTCTACACGATTATGGTAGAAGAATACTTATTTATTTTCACTGATTAACTTACTGACATTTTAAGCCCATTATTTGAAACTGTTTCGTATTCTAGGTTAAAAGATAGTTGATCAAATATGAATAGCTGCTGCAGTATCTTTTATCAATGCAAAGGACGAAAATGAAGTCTACAAACGTAAGAATTATGTTTCATTACGCATCAAATATTGTTTTTTCTTTAAAAAATAGATTAAAAGTTTTAAAAAAATCTTAATTTTATGAATAAATGATTATTATTTTACATTTTTGTTACAAATTAAATCATGATATATTAAATATCAATAAGTTAGAAAGTTTGCTTCATTTAACAGATCTCATCCACTGGACACTAAAATTGAATTAAATGATATATTTCATTACTTTCAGTTAAAAATAATGTGTACAATGGTGTTTTATTGGAGCAAACATTAAATAATTTGAAAGCTTTTGCCACTTCCATACCTTATTAAGCAATTTAGTCAATTCTAATTGTAAGAGAGAAATGTATATTCCTTAATTATGTAAACAAAATCAGTATGTTATTTATAAACCAGTATGTTATTGATAGGAATTTTGCTCCCAACACGCACCAACCACAGTGCTGACGCAAACTATCCTAAATGGTAGACGAATCATGAGTTAGACTTCACTTGCTTTTTTATTAACCGTGGGTGGCTTTTCGAGGTTTTCCTCGCTAGATAACGCAAACACCGGTTAGTTCCATCAAAATGTCCTCCGCGAAGGTTAGTTTGTCTCAAAGCTTAATCAGGGAGTACCTTTGTCTTCTGGGTTGGTTTTAATAATACAAGGCTACGGAGTTGAACATAGATAGTTGCAAGCTGAGACTTTGGTCGGCTGCTAAATGCTGGTTATAAAGTTTAAAAAAATAACAGTAATAATAATAATGATTTTGAAATGAATTCAAACACATATGCAAAGTAATGAAAGTAAAATATTATAAAATTTTAAAAACAAAGTAAGTTTATTTTTCAAATTGAATAACTTTTTAGAGCAAGTAAAGCATTATTGAATAAAAAATATATATTTTTCATTGTTTCAGATTGAACTTTTTGAAACTGCATAATTTTTCCCTAATATTTTCGAAAAGAAAAATAACTGGCTCAAGCTTAAAAACTTTTAAGTAAATTGCCTTTCCTTAACATCAAGATTAATATACCTATTTATGTAATGGCTACAGTCCAAATTTATGCTAAACTTTTAAATTTCTCGAAAAAGCTCCACAACTTTCACTTTCAGGATGCAAAAATAACATTTTCGATTACGCTCTATAAGTAATGAACGTGAGCCAATCCATGAAATGTAGTTTCCTAGTTCTTTTTTAAGTTAAATTAGATTATTGAAGCTTTATCTTTGCCTATTTTTTAATGTCGTTTTTCGGATAGTTCCTTTATATTTTAAATTGAGAATCAGCATTTGTTATAAACAAACATACATTTTAGAATTTTTTTCTTTGCTATGAATAACATTAGTTTTATTCAAAATTTAAATTTATTTAAAAGAAACTGAAGTTATGAAAGTTTAAAAATTACTTAGGTCTTTTTTCTGATGGAACCCGAACAATGAATTGTACAATTGTTTGAATTTTTTTTTTAATAATACTAAAATTTAAAAAAAAATGCTAGTATTTCCAATATTTTTTTTAAATTCAGAAAGTAGGACAATTAAAATGAAAGAACGTTTAAGAAATAAAGAAAATAATTACGAAATGATTTATTTTGCATTCTTAACTTGGTATCTTAAATAATAATTTCAAGTCATCAATTATTGATTTCAAATTAATAATCAAAATTATTTATCTGTTTTGTAATTTAAACTAGTTTTAAAATTGCAATTGGCTAAATTATTTCAACCAGATAAAATGAAAAGCACAATCTAAAATCGGAATCTAATATCAGAATTTTCTGTTTTAAATCACTTTCATTTAATTCAAAATCCTCTTATAATGATTTAATCTAATAAAAGTGATTTTACAAGCTGTATTATCGCTGTGAAGATTGTATAATTAGGTCTTATCATCTTGTCATTGGTCATGAGACTGTGACACTCCTGGTTCAGAGTGAACTATAGCATAAAAGCTTTCTTTTTTTTTATACAGTGTATAAATTTTACTAACTTATAATTTTTACTAAATTTTATTAATCTTGCTATGAGAGTGAGTAAACCCGAAAGTCGTTGGAAAGTTAGATTTCGTTCGAATAAAACTAGAATAAGCAGTCTAACTAGTATTATTTGTCTATTGTCCTTTTCAGCAATTTTCAGAGAAAAAATATCAGGCATTTAGCGCCATTAACTGATAAATCCAAATCTGCAATTTTTTTTCCTCAGAACTCAAACCAGTTATATGCCAAAAATGGATGATGATATGTAAAATAAATTATAGAAAAATTAAACAAAAAAAGATTTGTACTGCGTGAAACGTTCTTCTTTGGTAACGAGAGAAAGTTTTCTTCATAATATCAAATTCGTCTGTAAAAAACAGCACTTCTAATGAAAAAGAAATTATAATACAACCTTTATGAAAACAAACAATGAGGTACATTTTAATATCAAAATTAGCAGACTCTCATGCTAATATTTCATTCGGAATGGTCTGTCTTTTAGATAAAAAATATTGTTTTATAGTAACAGCGTAATTTTTGAAACATTTTGTGAAGAAATTTATTTTTAGATAATATAAAATACCTTTTTACCAAAGAAAAATGCAGAATACTTTGCATTTCTCTTTCTTTTCATTTTTTTAAATTTATTCTTCAAATCATCGGACATTTTTGCAACACCTGATATTACCCAATGGAGAATTTATCTTTCCGTTTCTCCGTCTTGTTCAAGCTTTGCACATCACATACTCAAATCAGTTTTCACTGAGTACTCCAATCATCTAAATTGAATCGAGCAATTAGTAAAAACTGATTTGCAGTCTCGATAATTGTCTGAAATGGCACAAAACTTGTGGCGGTTTAATCTTAATCAACTGTTACTATAATTACGCAAGTTCTCTTTATACTTAAGTTAATATGTATATACACAATTAGTTATTTATTTATTTTTAATTCAACTCTTTTAGGGATGTATAACTTCTCAAATGTCAGTATTGAAATTTTAAGGTTTTTATATTCGCTACGAAAAATCTCTGATTACACTGCGGTAAAAAGCACTAGCGTCCTCAGCGCCGCTGATTTTCATCGTAAAATACATTTTGAACATTTTATGGAATAAAGAAATCTGATATACATAATTTTTACGAAAATATTTACCACAAAAGCACTTAATCATTCTAATGAAGAATATTACTATAAATCTTACGGCATAAAATTTTACGGTAAAAATGGATTTTACGAATGCGGCACTCAAGATGCCAGTATTTTTCATCATAATTTGATCCGGAATATTTTACAGTGTTTGAGTGAATGAGTGAAATATAAATATTTATTTATTTTTAGGAATATAAAGCCTTGATTATTGATGGTTCGAGCTATGTGTGACTTCATATTTACCGAGTAACTGAAAGTATTCAGAGCTGTTAAAACGTCCATTGTTTCAACAGGGCCAAATTATAGATAGAAAAGTATCTAACATTGGACACACTCTTCGTTACAGAGAAACAGCTAAAATGATGAGTGATACTGCTGGCAGCTTTCATAGTGAATGCTGAATTTCAAGAATATAATTTTTCTTTTATTTTTCGTGGTGTCTTTATCCATATCTATGTCATCTATACGTTATACAAACTCAAGTTACGTATGTGTTGAATTATTCAAGTCTGTGGAACTTACAGGCTTTCGATGCCAAATGACCTAACAAACGACCTAAAACTGACATACCTGCATAGATGTATATTCGATAAGGACTTCTGTGTACATATAAAAAATGGTGAAATATATAAGACATAAGCTATAAATATATGTATGTTTAAACAGTTTCTTGTTTTACGGAACAGAATTTCAAAGGTGCTGCATCTTATCATATTAATAGTATGAAATATTATGAGTAAACAATTTTCTAGGACATGTTCTTGAAAATCAAGACAAACTGTTGCTGTTCAAATATCTGTATATTGTATAATAGTTTTCAGATTTCTTCGTAACTTCCGAACTTATGAGCGGTAAGCATACAAGCGGGCTCTTGACTTATTATTGTTCTTTTTTACTTCATTTGTTTTCTTTTAAAACTATATATTTGTGAACAGAGAGAGATCAAGGTAACCTGAACGAGAATGTTTTCAGCAGATAAATTTCTTTCATGAAATATTCAATATAAAGTTTTTTTCGTGTAATCTATTTATTGCGTGTTGTAATATTTTATTTGAAGCTCAAATTATGTATTAAGGAGGAATGATAAAATAAAGAATTTTATTAAACGTTGAGATTGTGTTTTTTGCCACTGTTGGAAATTTCGTCACAATTTTATCCGTCGTTACTTTTTTCTTCATCATCACGATTTTACTAATTTTCTTAAGGTGTAGTAACTAAGCTGAATGCTACTCATATCCAACCTTAAACTATTTGTTGGAGGGTCGTGCCTTTCAGTTTCGGCAATTTAATTTATGTATTTTTAAGAGAGAAGTTCTATTAAAATTATAGGTTTCTATAAAGTTAGAATGAGTTTTACTAAGTTATCTTAAGAGTGTCAAGGTAGATATTAAAAGTGTATTCGATAGTGCTATTAGTGTTGTACCATTTATCTTTAAGATGTCAACACCAGAACTACAATTTCGTTTTTTTTGGGACAATATTTAATTATTTAGTTTTTAATTTCGCATTAAAGAGCAATATATAAAAATATTTGTTACATTTCCTGAACAAATCTTTCATTAAACTAGCTAATATTCAATTTCTTTAAAATTTCATAATTATGGAAATATATAATATTTATATACTATTTTTAAAGAGCAATATAAAAAAAATATCATTAAGACGATATCTCTTAAAATTTAACTTCAGCAAAATATTTTCTCATATCTCGTGTTTCTTTATAATGAGGAAAATAGGTAAAATTTGAAATTTATTTTTAAAAATAGACCGCCTTTTTTTATTTTGTGTGTCATTTAAGCATTTACAAGCACCTTTTTTCAACTTTTCTTAGATTAATTAAGTGGTTTGTATAAGCAGTACATCGTATCATGATTTTGAGTAAAAAATATGCTTATAATCGATCTGTTTTACATATATACTAGGAGGCTCCGCCCCCTGCTCACTAACGCTCGCCAACCCCCGAGAATTGCTACGCAATCCTATGTGGTTCACGACGTGAACCATGGCTCGCTGCGCTCGCTCGCCAATGAACACAATGTTCTAGCACAAAGACATAATATATTATCATCAAAGACATAGTATTTTATCATCAAAGACACAGTATTGTACTTATGTAGAAGAATTCTACCAATGTTCTTATTGGCTTTTAAAAAAGTATATTAGCTATTTAGATTGTACATGGTGAAAAAATCAAAACATTAGCTAAATAAGAAACATATTAGCAAAATTTATCAAATATTGCTTCACTAATATTCTGCATTTTAAAGCGTGAAAATTCAATGCATAAATAAACGCGAAGTATAAAAAAAATTCAATGCATTCAATACAAACACTTAAACGTTTTTTAGACGTTTAGGTAGCTCCCAGTAGAAAAATATCAATTCAACAGCGGCCTTTTAAAGCATTCTCACTCCAATTAATTAATTAATTCCTAATTGAGTTTAAATTAAATATTGTTATGTTTTTAGTGCATGAATCTGAATTGAACAACCTGATAATGCTCACTCTGGTTATTGTTATCTGGTTGCTCACTACGTGCTCTTGCGCGCCGAATCCAATCAATTAAAAATGAAAACTGTTGCCAGCGCGAGAAAAGAAATATCATCGGTTTTACTGATACATACATACGTACGTATTAGCGTTTTATATAATATAGATAGATTGTTTTCTAGCTTAAAAGCTTCTTATTGAAGATGAGATAATAAAAGTAGTCCGAACAAAATGACTGCCTCTAGGGAATATTACCTACTAATACGTCTGAGATTAAATTTAGGATCCCCATTATATATTTTATGTAAATTACAAGCTAATGCATAAAATGACAGAAATTCTAAACAATAAAATTAAGTAATTTTGTGTTTTCTTCTGATGCTTTTAAATTAAAGCAACAATGAAATATAATACTTCCCATGATACTTCAGATAAACCATTTACAATTCTTTCGTTTTAAAAATAATAGAGATTATTAAGACATATTTAGCAACAAATTCTAAAGAAAAAAAATCAGGCAAGGCAAATTTCGGAGCTTGGCGAGGCTTAGAAAGCTGAATCACGATCAATAAATATATTTATGTGACAAACTAATGAATGTTATTCTTTTCACATGGAAATATATATTTTAGTCACTTTTCAAGTCACAAGTTCACTTTTATTAACACTAGATCAGACAGATTTTGGACTTTTACCTAAAACCTATTTGAGGTCAATTTGACCCCCTTAGGAAATTGACGCCATTCCAATGTAAATGATTGATTTTTTATTTGATGAATATTGTTAAAAATACACTTTATAAGGATATTTTGAGATAAGAGACATTTTTGTTATTTTTTCTATCAACTTAATCAGAATATAACAATACAATATAATATGGTATGATAGATTATTTTTCTGCGAAGTCATACGAAAATAAACTAACAATACGAATATACACAATGCGCAGTAGTGCACATGTCGAAGTTTCATCAATAGTTAGACTTCAGTTCTGGAGTACTACAGTTTATCCGCGTTGCGTGAATGTTACAGCAAAACGAAAACAAATAGATTTCTAGCATTTCTCATAGTTATCATAAGTTTTCTACTGACATTTGGGATGTTAAAAGGCGTGTTCTCTTGCTTTATAAACTAAAAATTAAGAATTAGAGGCTATCTGGTGAAAAAAATACTAATTCGTAGCTCCTTAACAATCATAAGAATGAACTCTCAATGCGTAATTAGGAAGACGAAACACTTCTCGAAAATTATTCAAGCATTGAAGGTAACAGTATGACAAGCATTTCAAAATAAGTGTGAGATATTTTCAAGTTTTTCATGGAGTAAAATAATAATTTCTTAGCGACTTGTCAGCCATTTGGTTCGACATTACGATGTAAGTGAGAGTATAGCTCGTTCACCAGGAGTTGGCACTTGGCTCCGCCTTCATCACGTGGTATGCGACGATACTATTTCGCTATTTTTGGGAGAAGGTTGTGAGCAATCCTGAACAATGTTGCTATATGGCGACCGTTTGGCAAAAATATTTATTTCGCAAACTCTATGTGCATTTTTTTAACAATGAATATTTCATAAATTTGATGATATTTTACACTATTTTTTATGATATTTCTTTCTTTTGAGTGAATAGTTTGTCCTTTATGAGACATTTCGCTGGGAGAACAGCAGTTTTTAAATNCAGAAGTTTTCTACTGACATTTGCGATGTTGAAAGGCGTGTTCTTTTGCTTCATAAACTAAAAATTAAGAACTGGGGGCTATCTGGTGAAAAAAATACTAATTCGTAGCTTTTCAACAATCATAAGAATGAACTCTCAATGCGTAATTAGGAAGACGAAACACTTCTCGAAAATTATTCAAGCATTGAAGGTAACAGTATGATATATTTTCAAAATAAGTGTTATATATTTTCAAGTTTTACATAGAGTAAAATAATAATTTCTTAGCGACTTGTCAGCGATTTTGTTCGACATTATGATGTAACTGAGAGTACTTAGCTCCTTCTCTATTCCGTCGTTTGCAGACACACTGTAAAAAAAAACTTGGTAAACCTTTAACCAGTTTTTAATACGAAGTTTCTTACTGCCAAAAAAGTTTAGTTAAATGAAAGATCATTTCATCTTATTTACACCATAAATTGTGAAGAATGATCGTGAAATATTTCCATGGGGCAACTGATTGCACCAAAATTTGGTAAAGACACAAAACTTTGACAGTGACTGTAAACTGAACGATATTTGTTTACGACGCCATATTTTCTTTGCAACTCGTTCTAGTTGCATCGGGGCGACTAATGCATGCTTTTTCGATTATCAACTTGTTTTGGTAGGTAAATGTCTTATTTGAATTAATTAAAGTTCATTTCTTTTATGATGCCTTTTTAAATTTGGTTGGCTGTATAAAAGGTTTAGAGGCATGTCATAAAATAACCAACTTCCAGTAAATTGTTTTGTTACGGTAAATAGAAACCTGGGGCCTGCATTTGAGTGCTTTAATGTGGCAACCTTTTTCCGCTTTTATAAAAGAAAAAAAGGTAAATAGGTGTTTTGTTTCATCAAAACACCTATTTTTGGTTCAACCTTCAACTGATATTTAGAGCTAGTAAAAATAGCATAATATGATAAAATTGAGCTCCATTTTATGTAGACAGCAAATGAATACCAACTTTTGGTGTAATGTGGCCCGGAATTTTTAACAGTGCACATTCACATGAATGCTATTTAAAATTACGGCATTCTCTTTGTTTGGCACCTAAACATTGAGTGTTTTGTTTCCATTTACAATACAAAAGTTGAATATCATGACGAAGAAGTGACACCACAATATAAGGAAAAAAAGTCCTTTGCAGTAAAACTTTACTAAGGTAAAAAGAAATATCAGTAGTTCCGCTGAGCTCGAAGTTTTGGTGTGGTTCCATGCTTAGAGCTTAATATGTTTCCAAATCATTATCATTGACTTTGGGCCATTTTTCAACATACAAAAATAAATATAACCATTACTTTTCTTAATCTTATGTCAGTTGCAAAAATTTGAAGTTAAAGTTATATGGCTTGTTCATAATGCAATAAATTTGTATTTTGGCTTACAAGCAATTCCAATTAGCCAACAGTTCTTTTTTGTTCAGGATTAAAAAACACTGTTTGTAATCAGGATGTACATGGTTTCTTTCAGACGCAATAACAACTTTGTAATTCAATAACAATTTACTACAACTTCAAAAATCGAATCAAGACATCATACATTTAATAAAAATTATTACGTGACTTTCTTTTTACATGGTCGACCCGATTTTTGTTCTACAAATCATCCTCCCTGGGTTTCAAGTCTTTCAAAATCAAGAACTGGCATGTACTTTTAAAATTAAATATTTTTCTTACGACTGTCAAAATGACATATTTGGCTGTTATAGGCATTTCTAGGATTATTTATTTTAATACTCAACATAAAGGCCTGAAATTTTTATAAAGTATTCTTAGAAACAATTTAAGAAAAGTAGAAAATATCACCTTCAAAAATCAAGTGTATCTACTAAACCAGCATAAGGAATGGCAAAAATTTTTCGAAATGTCCCGAATGGCGCTTGTAATGTTACAATTTTAAAATTCTAAATCTTTTTT